TAAAATTCGCCAAAATTAGTGGCTAAAACGCCTCGTTATGTGCTGCCTTGGGGTGTGACGCGCTTGTAACTATCGTATCGTACACTCTGTCATTATTCGTTTCTTGCAATAATTTACACCAGTTTACACCAGAAGATAGCACTTAACGAAGCGTTTTAGCCACTAATTTTGGCGAATTTTAAGAAATCATTAACAAGACATTAGGAGCTTAAATTTGGGGATTATATTAAGAATAGTGCTGTCAAAATTAAAGCCCTTTTAGTTTTTTTGGGAAACTAGATGGAATTAAAATATTAAAATATATGCATATTATAGATATTATTGCCTAATTTATTTTGCCAAAATTTAAATATTTTGAGATATTCTTGTCCGAAAATTATAAGGGGTATGATCACCTTAAGATTGAAAGAGAATTAGCTTTAATTCATGAGATGCAAAGCATCATAATTGTCGCGTCACAAAAACCACCCGCTGCCAAGAGAAAATTTGTATTCAACAGCATTGTATATTTTGTGTTGTAAAAGAGAAAAAATAAACAATTCGTCTTTTAATAGTTATTTTTTTAATTTAATAATCTATGTGAAAAAGAAATTTTTTTATACAGACTTTAAAAAATTGTTATATTAATATACTTATTTAATTGTACTTATATTTGTTGTTCCTTTAATACAATAAATACAATTTACCTATCTCCAATTCATCACTTTCCGTATCCATATACCTAGGGTCCGATTACAATTAGAAGAACACCGCTACGTCATAACTATTATTTCGAATTTCCAATATACAGGGTGTCCCGAAATTAGACGGTCATATTTTAACAGCGTAATTTACATCCTACAAGTATTAGAAATTAAAAATTAAAAAAACCGATTTCAAAAACGTGCAGATGCCGTCACCACATCTTAACCAAATTTATATAGGATGACACCTGAGGTACCCCCTTACTACCAAAAAAAGAATCATATAAATCGGACAAGGTGGTAAAGCATTATCGCTAAACATACATAAAAAATGAAGAGTTTGAGGATTTTCTCATGGGCCCAATTATTAGATTTTGACCAAATTTATATGGAAGTACCCCCTTTCTAACAAAAAAAGAATCATTGAAATCAGACACCGTGTTAAAGAATTATCGCTGAACATACATAAAAAAAAATTTAAAAAAATATTGCGACGAATTGAGAATCTCCCTCCTCCTTTTTTGAAGTCGGTTAAAAATAGGAGTAAAAGTTTATATAAACATAGGTCCAAAAACGTTTCGTTTTCGAGATACAGGGTGTTACAAGTGAAGTCCAGATAAAGTTAAAATATAAAACCAAATAGCCGCTGAATATGTTCATGCTATCGTTTAGTACTGATGAGGATGTCAATAAAATATTTAGTATACAAGATATCATGGATATAAGAATTGACATTCAGCCTATTAGAAAAACTAGACTAGTTCCCCAATGTAAATTCTGCCAGGCATATGAACATACACAAAAATATTGTTCAAAAGAACCAAGGTGCGTTAGATGTATAGGGAAACATTTAACAGTGGAATGTGATAAACCAAAAAATGCTTCTCCAAAGTGTGTCCATTGTGAAGAAGGCCACTCGGCTAATTACCGCGGATGCATTAAAACCCAAGAATTTCAAAGAATAAAAAACAAGCAAATGAAGAGCCAAACTTGCCTCCGCAACCCCATCGGGACAACAGGCAATATATTAATAATATAACAATAGTTTAATTTATTTATAGTTTATTTATTTAAAACACATTATTTACAATTTATTTATGACGTACTTAATTAATTTATATAATACTTAGGCACTAACTATTATTTATTACAATTTAACTTTTCAGTTCAATACTTTTTTACTAAACTAAACTGTCCGCCGATAAGTAGGGCTATTTATACCAAGTCCAACTCTGCTACGAGAAGTCTCTAGTCGCTCCCGAAAATTCCATAGCTGACTCAACTGTACGTTCCGCCCGTTCTAGCCGTTTCTCGAGCATCAGCGGCATTCCTAGAAGATTCCGTCATTTCGAGCATGAGTCGGGTGACAAGCTGAAGGCTTTAGACAGAGACGGCTTAGGAATTTTCATGACAATAATATAAATGAGACAAAATATTAATAGAAAAGAAACACAAAAAAAACCAAATAGATAATGAAAACAAAACATATAGCCAAGTAGCTGAAGGAGACATGGGAAAAAACCATATATTCCAACAGTCAGTTCAACAAAACACAAAAAATATTGATTTAATTATTTTATTATTTATTTAATTAAATTATTTATATAATGTAATACTTGGAAAAGGGTCAAAATCGGGAATTAGTTACACTCAAGAGAAAGGTCGTAATCGAGATAGAGGATATAATCGAGATAGAGGACATAATCGAGATAGAGGACATAATCGAGAAATAGGTCGTAATCAGAAGAACAAGTCCTATTATTGGGTGAGTAAATTACAAATTTTAGAAAATTAAAGAAATTAATCGGAAAATCAGTGCAGTTATTAAAAGTATGGATAATGAATATAATAGTTTACGATAGGTAATTATTTATAACATTAGTAAATTCTTCTCGGTCTTCTTGAAGAATCCAGTTTCTTAGATGTTTTTTGAATACATTATAAGACGGTATATTTCGTATCTCTTCTGGGACTAAAATATACATTCTTGGTGCAAGATAATTGCATGTACGTTGTCCTATAGATTTTTCACTACGAAGAAAATAAACAGATTCTACTCGTCGTGTATTATACTGATGTTCATGTGATGTCAAAACATTTTTTTTTGATTTTATAAATTGAAGAATTTTAAAAAAATATAATTGTCTTAAATCAAAAACTTTTAATTCCTTGTACAAGGAGTTACTAGAATATTGAATATCTTTGTTATAGATACGAAAAATCCATTTTTGCACCACATGAACATCATTCAGAAAGTTATCGTGTATTCCTCCCCAACCTATAATACCATAGACTAATAACGACTGTACCAAAGAGAAATACATTGTTTTTAGAGCATGAACATTTAAAAAATCTTTTAAATACCTGAATTTGGGCAATAATCCTCTTATTTTTTTAATTAGTTGCTTGGTATGTAAATCCCACCTCATATGCCTATCTATAAGAATTCCAAGATATTTTACTGAAGAGGATTCAGGGATTTCTATACCTAGGCCTACTTTTAAAGATCCCATGGAAGGAAGACCACTAGTATAGGAGCTAAACGGTAAGTAGTTTGTTTTTGTATAGTTTATTGTAAGTTTATTATATTGAAGCCAATTTGCTATTCTTGGAAAGTCACTTTCAACTTTTTGTTTTAGGTTATCCCAAGAAGACGAAGTGTATATGACAGCCGTATCATCTGCGAAGCTAAAAATTTGGCCAAGTGATTCCAAATTGAGAAGGCTATTTATGTATACAGAAAAAAGGATCGGGTCTAACACGGTTCCCTGAGGAACTCCAACAGTTACTGTTTGTGAATCACTTCTAGTATCTCCAATTTGAACAAGCTGCTGCCTATTTGATAAATAACTTTCAAAAATGTTATAAGATTTACCCCTAACTCCATACTTTTGCAATTTTTCTAATAATTTCACATGACACACAGTGTCAAAGGCTTTGGAGAGATCTAGAAATATACATAAAATGGGTACTTTTTTATCCAAAGAGTTATAAATTGTTGATATTAGTTTATAAATGGCATCCTCAGTTGATCGACCCTCCCTGAAACCAAATTGTCGATCAGATAATATACGAAATTTGTTTAGAAATTTGCAAAGGCGTATTTTTAAAATTTTTTCAATTATTTTTGAAATAGTTGATAATAGCGATATTGGTCGATAATTTCCTAATTCATTTTTATTTCCATTTTTAAATAGCGGTTTGACTATAGCACATTTTAAAATCTTAGGAAAACACCCTGTATCTAAACATTTATTTATTAGAAAGGTCAATGGTTCAACAATTTCGTAAGCAATTTGTTTTAAAGTATCTGCACGAATTTCATCCAAACCTGGAGATTTTTTATTTTTTAGATTATTTATTATTTCTAAGACCTCCGATGTGTCTGTTGGAAATAGATACATAGTATTTTCCAAAAAATCTAAATTATCTTCATAATTATTCAGATCTGGTATTCTGTCAGCTAAATTTTCTCCAATTGTACTAGATGTATTTTTATTTCTACTGTTCTACTTTTATATTGCACCCTAGATTATTATTAAGGATACTAACAGTTTTTTCAATTATAATTTCATTTCCTTCTGTTTTTATTCCAAAAATAATAATATTATTTATTTTTAAATTTCTTTCCAATTTTCTGTTTTCGTCTTTAAGCAGAGCTATTTCTTTACGAGCATCTTTTAATTCAATAAATAATGTTTCGGTAACCTTTTTAATTTCACTTTTTAGTTCTTTTTTTATTTCCTCTGTTTGCATCTGGTTGGCCATTAACAAAAGTTGGAATAATTTCCTTTGATCCTCTGGTACATTTTCCATTATACTCATAATCGTACTAACCAGTTTACTTATTCATGTAAAGAAATAATAATAAATATTCAATTGTATTTATCATTTCTTTTGTAAGTGTATTAGTTAGACACAAAATGTCATTTATGTTTCTAAAATTGCGAGATAGTAAGCCACAATTGCGTGATAATAAGTCACAATTGCGTGATAATAAGTTGCAATTACGAGATAGTAAGTCACAATTGCGTGATAATAAGTCGCAATTGCGAGATAGTAAGTCACAATTGCGTGATAATAAGTCGCAATTGCGAGATAGTAAGTCACAATTGCGTGATAATAAGTCGCAATTGCGAGATAGTAAGTCACAATTGCGTGATAATAACTCACAATTGCGAAATAATATGTCGCAATTGTGAGATAATAAGTCACAATTGCGAGATAATAATATTTTTTTTTATAAAAAAAGTGGCCCCAGGAAGCTTTCGTATTTTAAAATATGTAATCGATTATTTTTTTTTTTTTTTTTTTTAGATTGACAAGTTCTTCGAAAATATCATAGTTTCAGATGAATTAAAAACGGTAGAAATTAAAATAGTGTCTGCGCTTGTAGAGCATACTGTACCATTTCTGGTAATGAATCATCTCAGTGATTTCTCAGTGTTTTCATGAAAAAAATCGTAATTTAATCGTATTAAAATGGACGATGCCAAAGAAGGTTTGTGGTATATTGGCCCTTGTACAAAGTTGTGTATCGAACATACAAATAGGTATTAAAATTATTGAAAAAAAATTGAACACCCATTTACCAGGAGCAGCCACTGGAAAGATATCGTAAATTAGAAAAATGAACCTCTAAAAAGTGCCCTTCCCCAGATGCTCCGACTATGCCAAAAATTTAATCAGCTTAATGCAGGATGGATTAAAACTTAAGTCTAAAATTTGAAATGTTTCTTATTATCCGTTTTTGAATTATTGTGGATACAGACATACAGACACATTCATACATACATACATAAACGCAGATGCCATCATCATATCTTAACCAAATTTATATAAGACTACCCCTGAGGTACCCCCTTATTAACAAAAAAAGAATCATAGAAATCGGACAAGGTGGTAAAGAATTATCGTTAAACATACATAAAAAATGAAGAGTTTGAGGATTTTCTCGTGGGCTTAATTATTAGATTTTGACCAAAATTTATATGTGACCACCCCTAAAGTACCCCCTTTCTAACAATCGGACACCGTGTAAAGAATTGTCGCTCAACATACTTAAAAAATATATACCAACGAATTGAGAACCTCTTCTTTTTTTGAAGTGGGTTAAAAAATAGAATTGAATTTGTTTTACTTTATGGAGATATAGGGGTCTATTCTGTAACAATTCCTCTATATTTTAACGGCCGTTAAAATATTTTAGGCCTTTAAAAATATTTTCGTATTTACTAAATTGCTTCTGTCATTATTTAAACGGATTCCTTTAAAATACATTAGAGAACTATTATAAAGAAATCTGTTTAAATAATTACAGAAGTATTTTTAAAGGCCGTCAATATTTTAACGGCCGTTAAAATATAAAGGAATTGTTACAGAATAGACCCCACTATATACTAATTTGTTATATCAAAACAAATTATGTTATTACAATGAATATTGGTAGATAATCGTTATTATAAAAATATTTTCATTAAAACAGTTTTAATAACTTTTATTTGAATTATAATTTTTTGTATTAGCAAAATTTAATTAAAATTGATGTTGTCAAATATTTAATATATTTGTAAAATCTTTACAATCTAATTATTTGTTTCTAATTTATACTCAATAACATATACAAAAAACGTTTCTTCACTTTAGTATACGGATCTAACGATCATTAGTATTTTTAGTTATGGATGGACTGACTTACCGGACTGTTTGGAAAACAACACAACTCGGTGTCACTAAAACAAATAAGCCGAAGCCAAATGAAAGGAAAGCGATTTTCGCGAGCCTTATATACGGCTTCCTTTCCACTGTTTATCATTGGAAAATTATCGTTGTCTTGTCTTTCGGGATGGATATATTTATATATAAAGTGAAATGCAATTTTATCTAAATTCCCTCATCGCTCAGATTCACAGGAGTTTGATGAATTTTTAAATTCTATTGTTTATCCAGAAAAAATGTCCTATAAAATTTTATTTTGTTTTAAGTATGAATTAACTGTATTTTTTTTGCTTTTTCAATCTTACTATGAAAACATCATGCTACATATTTATATGCAATCACAAAAAAAGTAAAAGGTAGAAAAACGCTGTTGTCAATGTTGACAAAACAGTGAGTTTTTTTTTACTACTCAATTATTTTTAACCACTACTTAATTATTTTCAACCTAATTCGACCACGACTACAACCTACACGGAAAACCAGTTGATTTGAATTCAAAAACTTATGTTAATTTTTTAACTTGTTCTAATTTCACAATTAATTTTGGAACAAATAAATAAAATAAAATATTGCATAACTCTTTTCTGTTATTTAATTTAATAATCATAGAAAAAGTATAGTATTATACTCGCGGGTAATGGCTATTACTCAGTCAGATGATTACACTACTCGCCTGCGGATCGTAGTGCAAACTTCATCCTTGTGAGTAATAGCCATCATTACCCGCTCGTTGAATAATATACTGTAATGTGAGGCATTTCATTATTCAGTTATGCTCTAATCCTCCTAGTCCCTCTTTGTCTTATTTGGCCTTTGAGGCTCAACTTGTTTGATTATCATACATAATTAAACCCCTTAAGACCAAACGTATGTGACGACTATGGCGGAGGAGCTTTCGATTACTATTTGAGAAATAACGGGATAATGTTTCTAGTGTATTCCAAATATAACGAGATACTTCTAGTTTGGCGGAGGAGCATTCTGGAACCTTCACCATAATTTGAAATTTGTATATAAATATTGGTGGAGGATAACGCGGAATCAGATATATAGATAGACAGTGAAGATAAATAGTGAACAGTTTAAAGACTTTCGAAATATATAAATTAGAATAGTATTTTTATAAAATACAGTGCTTTGAATACGGCGTAAGAATGCCACTTCTCGTAGGTAATTCGAACCCGAGAATACCGATCAAGAAGAAGAAGCGACAGTAGCTGTCGGTGCCTTTGATATCGGATGGACCTTTTTCACAGCATGACTTTGATTAATACACAACTTAATACGCTGAGAAAACATGCTTATTTTCTACACTGAGCGAAATAGTTTGCCAAATTATCTGAAATCATTGTTATAGTCCATGCGCAAATGTTGTAATGTGATTTAATTAATAATTATAATATTTACTGTTCGTATTCCTTTGGAAAAGTAAATAAACTTAATCCTTGGCAGATTTTGGACGAACAAGAAAGGTATGCACAAAAATATCCAGATTCAGACATTCTATTACAACACAAAGAAGCACCAAAAAATATCACTTAACAGCTCACCGACTAAACACAACTTGGACTGACTTTGACAGATAACATGTTTTAAGTGATACACAACTTATTTTCATCAAAACGGTACACCGAAAACACCAAGCTGTCCCTTCTTCGTGATCGGTATTCTCGGGTTTGAACTTCCGAATAATCTTATCTGTCGCAAATTCAGATGTCACACAGTCGATAGATTTAGATGCGTCAGTATTTTGTTGATGTGCTGAATATTGGGAGATGATTTGGCGAAAAAAAATTTGGATTAATCGTGGATTTGTTTATTTTTTATTATAAGAAATTAATTGGGTATTTGAAATTGGTAAGAGTATTAGCCAAGGTGGTGATTTGAGAGTATCTGATTGATAGGTTTCCGGTATTTCTTGTAGATTAATGGATGCGAGACAGCGTCTACTCTTTCTTGTTAACGATGCTGAAGATTATACTATGGAACCGTAGTCAATTGAAGTTTTATATACATCTCTATCTTTGGATGTTATATCTGTTGGGCAATAAAGAATTTATTAATTTTTTAATATTATTGTTATTAAATAAGTTCTTTCGTCAACTCCTCACCGTTTTGTTGTTAAGCATTTAAGTAGGTTCAATCTTATTTTGACATGTTAAGACTTAATTTTGTGTATGAGGCTTCCAAGTCAAACTCTGATCAATTATAAGTCCTAGGTATGTTATGTTATTAGTGTACTTTAGAGTATGATCTCCAAGTATTAGAACTGGTAAGTTTTGTAGCTGGTTTGGTCTCTTTGAGAAGACGATACATTGTGTTTTGTGTGGTGAAAATACAAGACCATTTTTCTTGCTTCGCGTAACCAATTTATCGAAATGCTCTTCAACGTATTTTTCTTTTGTGAAAATAATAAGATCATCTGCGAATAATCAAGCTTTTATGGGTTTTTTGAGGGTATTAAGTAAATCATTTATACCAATTAAAAATAACATAGGACTAATGACGGATCCTTGTGGTGTTCTGTTTTCTTGGATTTTGGTGTTGGATAAATTTCCGTTAGTTTTAACTTGAAATTTTCTGTTAAGAAGAAAGTTTTGAACGAAAGCTAATATATGTCCCTAAAAACCCCAAGATTCTAAGGTTGTTATTTTATGATGCTATATCATATCAAATGCTTTAAATAGGTCAAAATGCACTCACCGGCAGAATTAACCGCCCACCCAATTATTTTTATTTATTTCTGAAATTTTCGGAGATTTTCGTCACTTTTTAAAATTAATTGATATGACGTGACATTTTGACAGTAAATAAATGTTTAACTGTCAGTGCTGTCATTCTTTCGCTTTTTATTATTAATTTGGTTCCAATTTGGCTTGTTTAATGTTAGTGTATTTACATTTTTTTTTATTATTAGACTTAATTAGTCTTGTTTAATGTTGGTGTATATTTTGTAAAATCGGTTTAAGTTAAGTTCAAAACAGTTTTATTCAAAACAATGCCATTGGGAGCAGAATCAGTAGCCAAGGCTGTAGTTCTATCTGATGAAGGTTATAGTCAACGTCGTATTGCTGGAATACTTGGTGCTGCTCGTGAAATAGTCAGAGATGCCATAAGGCGTTTTCGAGAGACAGGTTCTTACACCAGAAGGCCTGGTCAGGGCCGCCATCGCTGCACTTCAATGAGGGACGATCGTTTTGTTGTTAGCACGATTTTAAGAGATCGGTTCTGTACCGCTGTTGAAGCCCGTACTCGTCTTGCTGAGGTTAGAAATGTGGAGGTCAGCGAGAAAACCATAAGAAGGAGGTTGGCAGTAAAGAATGTTATAGCGAGACGCCCTTACCGAGCCCCTCAGCTTCGCCCGCATCACAAAACAGCTAGACTCCGTTTTGCGCGTGAATACAGTATATGGAATATGGATCAGTGGAAGAATGTTTTATTCTCTGACGAGAGCAGAATTGCTTTAAAATGTCCAGATGGCCGTCAGCGTGTATACAGACGCCCGACAGAGCGGTTTGCTTCTTGTGGTCTTATGGAAACTGTGGGTTATCAAGGAGGCTCAATAATGATATGAGGTGGAATTTCTTACGAGGCTCGTACGGATCTGGTAATTTTTGCTAGAGGTGATGTAGATGCTCACAGGTATGTTCAAGAAGTTCTTCAAGAACATGTCATTCCTTTTGCACCATATATTGGCGAGGACTTTGTTCTTCAGCAAGACAACGCACGATGTCATGTCGCTCGAGAGGTTACGCAATACCTTAACGAAGTTGGCATCAGAACTTTGCCATGACCAGCACAAAGTCCAGACCTCAATCCAATTGAGCACATTTGGGACAACCTAAAAAAACGGATTTGAGCACGAAGACCAGCTTCAACCACTATTCGAGAGCTGCGGTGGAAGAATAGGAAAACATCCCACAAGCTGAGATTCAAGCCATCATGGATACTATTCCACGCAGGCTTAGTGATGTAATCAGGGCAAGAGGGGGTAACACTCGTTACTTAAGTGAATTTTGTTATTAACAATACTTTTTTGTCGATAAATTTCATGTATTGCTCATCTTATTCAAAAAGTAAAAAAAAATCAAAATTACAAATATCTCCAACTAAATAACAAAACATTGGGTGGGCGGTTAATTCTGCCGGTGAGTGTAGATGGCCATACACTTTTGATTATTACATAAAGCTTCATTTATATTACTCTCTAGATCAATGAGATTATCTGTTGTGGACTGTAATGGTCTAAAACCAGTTTGTTCTTCTATAAGTTGACTGTTCTCTGTAATTGTCCAGATAAGGCGTCCACATGGATATTAGCTTATTTACGCACAGATTAAAAAACAAAAAACTAATGTGTCCAACACATGACTTTCCTATCTAGTTATTATAGACTTTTTCCGGTTATTTTGTACAACCTATTGCCGCACCTCTATAAATGTTTAGAGGATAAAATAAATATACAGTGTGTCCGTAAAGTATGGAACAAATTCATTTTTAGCTAAACAGACCGTTTTAAGAAATAATCCTGAAACACGTCGATTTTTGATTTTAATTTACCGTATTTTAAAATAATAATCTAATATACAGGGTGAATTACTTTCGAGTAATGACGTCACCGTCATTTTTTTTTTTTTTAAATGGAACACCCCCATTTTGTCTCAACTTTCGGATTACTCTAGCTGAACTAATTCCAAAAATGTATCACATGTTGATTCCAATTGGTACAGGGTGGACTTGTGGTCTAGCAGACATAATATGAAAGAAATTATTTCTTGTCAATTTTGAAAAAACATAGTCGTCTAGTTTTTTGTGAAATGTCATTATTTGTTTAGTAATTTATTGATGTTCAGTGACAGTTTAGTACTATAATATTTTTGGTATTCGTGAATGTTTTAATTATTGCGATTTAATTTGAATTAGAAATGGAGTTAAGTGTAAAACAAAAACTTGAAATACTTATGATGATTGTGTATGGAGACAGATCGCGAACTCAGATGGAAGTGTGCAATTTGTTTAATGATAAAG